CCTAGCTACTCAGCACGTCGACGACATCAAGGTGGCAGGAATCCCCACAGAAAAAGTTAAGCTTCGTAAGTATTTGGGGAACGCCTTTGGCAAGAGAGCTGGAGATCACCGAGGGAACTTTCACGAGCTGTTGGGCCCGACATTCGTATGCTAATTGTTGGCGGTTACGGCTTGAATCAGACGAACCACGCACAAGTTTTCAAGCCCATCGGGCGTGTTGACACCCATCTACGAAACTCCAGATCTGAGCTTGCGCCCAATTGTCTGGCTAGGCTGTTCCTCGGCCTGCTCATGGCTTTGGCGTTCGCCCTCGTTGCGCGCATTGACCGCCATGCCTACGCGGTTGCACTGCAGTGCCACGCGGCGGCGCCCACGCGCGGCCACGGCCGCAATTTCAACACCCACTGAAGATTCACTACCCGGCCAAGAGGTGCGCAGCTAGGCTGGAAATCCACTCCAGCGCGGCATTCTGCACGTGCAGGTCGTGCCTTGCGCGATGCAGTATTCCTGCGCGTGGGCGCCACGTCCCGAACGCCAGCGCTCGCGCCCTTCACTAGCACCATCCCCTGTCATCTTGGACTGGCAGCGCGGAGCCCGGAAAACGGTGACAAAGCACCTTCGCGAGCGAGCTGATGGCCGTGATCCCGCATCCGGATCATGGCCTCGCGCTCGCCACCGCGCTCCGCGAGGTGACAGGGGGCGCGCGGTCTATGCGCCGCGCGTTGTCAGCGAGACGGGCAGCAGGCTTCGGCTGGCAGCTCGAGCCTTGCCTGGGCTTCATGGGCATCGTCATGCGACGTCCACCAGGCCCGAGCCACTGGCATAGCATTCCTTGTGCTCAGGCCGGCTGGCGGCCCTGGGCAGGGAGGACGCCCGCGACGTGATTGCGGATGGACTCGCGACGGGCTGCACTGACCGCGCAGCACCCCAGTCGGTCTCCAGTGGGCATTGCTGGAGAGACCGCATTCCACGCGCCGTCACCCTTAACGCCGCGGGCAAGCTCACTGCGCTAGTAGGTCATGAGCGTAAGCCTTCCGAGGGAGACAATCGGCAGTGACCAGTGCGACCGCCTTGCTCCAGCGCGGCCAGGCCGAAACCGACCTTCTCTTGCTCGGAAGTCCCGCGCCTGATTTCGTTGGCCGGGGTCGACGAAACAGTGGCGCGCGCGGATTGCGCGCTCAGTGCGCGGGCCGCGCGCGGCTTCGTCGCCCGCGCGCGCCAGCGGCCCCGCGTCGGGCCGCGCGCGCGGCGCCGGGCGCCCGCGCGCGCGCCTGCGCCAGTCGGCCTTCCCACGGGGCCAGCGCGCGCGCCCGAGAGGGTGACGCGCGGCCATGCCCGCAGAGAAGGCCGCCGCTGCGACTGAGCGGCTGGCCCTGTTGCCATCGGGAGCGAGCGCCAGTCCGCTGCCGCGGCGCCGGAGTGGAGCGCCAGTCGAAGGCGCTCCTCTCAAGCCAGGCACGACGGCGCGCCTGCCGGACGCGCCGCCCGCGACGGCGGCGCCCCCGGCAGCGGAGTCGAAGCGGCGCGCCCATCGCGCGCCGCATATACCGCGCTCGTTCGCGCCACCTCCGCGAAGAAGGCCCCCGCCGCAGGGCCCGGGCCATGCTGCAGGGCGGCGCCGCCGCCGCCGCGAAGACGACTGGGCCCCCTTGCCCGCCGGCGCGGGGCCCCGCCAGCGCGGCCCCCCCAGCCGCGCGCGGCTGCAGCAGCTCAGCCCCGCGGCCCACCGCGTCGCCCTGACCATCGCCGCGGCTGGCGCGCCCGCGGATGGCCCCGACCAGCGAGGCTGAGACGCCGGCGCCTCCGCCGCCGGAGGCGTTCGGGGATGCCAGCGACGACGACGACTACTCGCGCGGCGGTTGACAAGACGGCAGCGGAAGATCTCGCCGAGGAAGTCGCCGCGCGCCCTCTCATCATTGGCGGCGCGTTCCGCTGCGAGCGGCGCATGGGCAGATCTTCCCCAGAGCACATCTCGAGGCTCGTTCTCTTCGCCGACGGGCGCATGGACCTGCGGCTACGCGTGGCTCTCGGCCACAATGTGCGCATCGCGCGCGGGCAATGCACCGTCGATCCAGACGCGCGTTCCGTGATCGAGGGGGAGATTGCGTCGCCGTCGGTCATGGTCTTGGCCCAGCGCTTGGCGGCGCATTGAATCTACCCACTGACTCGCGAGTGCCGCCAGCGCTGGAGGCTCGTGCCCGGGTCTTCCTGGCCCGGCGTCGGCGACGGCCCCCTGATGGCTTCGGACAGCCGGGCCCCAGGGCACCTCGGTCGCCCGAGCCGAAGAGCAGGCCGCCCACGCCAGCTGGCTCGGGGCCAGGGACCAGGCCTCCACGGCCGCCAGGTCCGCCACCAGGGCTCGCCGCGCCAGCGCCTGGGGGCCAGGACTTTGGCGCGCGCCCGCGCCGGCGTCCCAGCGACTACTTCGCGCGCGCCCGCGAGCCGAGCCGCCTCCCAGCCCGGCGTGCCTCGGGATCCCCGGGCGCCCATCGGCAGCCTGGGTCAGGCGCGCCACCGGCAGTCCAGGCACGGCAAGATGGGCAGCAAGCGCAGCAAGGGCAAGGGCAGGCAGACGGAGGCGCCCGCGGCCGAGCCCGAGAGGGCCCCCAAGAAAACCCATCGCAGTGGTCTCAAACGCAAGAAGATGCGGGATCAGAATCGCGCCGCCTCGCATCAGAGGAACGCCGCGGCAGCCGATGACGACCAAGAGAAGGTCCCGACCACCCCACACGCTGACGCTGAGGAGCCCGACGCTGCAGAGGCCGCGAAGAAGCCCGTCTACGAGGACGCGCCCCGCACCGGCGATGGGGGAGGACAGGAACTGGGCGCCGAGGCGCAGCGCGGGACATCATCATCCGCGCGCCCTCAAGGACAATCCAGACCTCTTTCCCCGCCCCCCCACCAGTTCGCGGCACCGTCACATCCCTCGCCCCCCCCCCACTCTCACGGGTCGTGTGTCACACTTGGACGCGCTTCGCTCAGATTCTCGGTCGCCTCGACCGCGACGCACGCGCCGCGCGCACGCGCAGTCACGGCGCCTGGGTGCGCGCACCACTCAGGTGAGCTGCTCGGTGCCGCTCCGCAGAGCACGAGAGTACCCTTTTGGGCACAGTCAGTAAGCGCGCACAACGCGGGCCCAGCGCGCGCCCCCCCCGGCGGCGGCCATGCATCCGGTGCGGATTGGGAAGGTGCGTGAGGGCTGCACAGGGCTGGCATTCCTTACTTCTCGGTTCCCTTGCTGGCTCAGAGCTGTTCGATCGCCCGCGCACTCCCGATTCGAATGGGATGCGCTGCTGCTATCTGGGCGAAGGTGCCGCAGCGGTTGCATCTTTGATAGAGAAAGAACAGGTCTGCTTCTTTCATTGGATCGCCGACATGCTGTCTTTCTGTCTCACCACCGACCCCCCGATGATGTTCCCTTTTCCTCCTCCTCCTCCTCCTCCTCTTCACCCTCCTCCACCTCCTCTTCCTGTTTCTCCTCCTCCTTGTCGCTCCTCCCCCGAGGCGGAACGTTCGGGGATGACTGGGCCAGGTGGGAGGCGTCGAGGTGGGACCGGCGATGCACCGCCGGCAGAGAGAGCCGACCTGCTGTCGACGGCGAGTCGTCGCGCGCTCCCGGGCGGGGCGGGCCGGCAGGCTCCGTTGATCAGAGATGCCGCAGAGAGGCTCGGGGGCTTTGAGGGGTCGGACTGGCTCACGGGGGGGGGATCGGCTCGGTGCGGACTTGCAATCGGGGGCCCAACGGTATGTCGCCAAGCCTGGCTCGATGTGTTTCTCCCGGTGGGCCTATCCCCACCTCGCGCCGCCCTTCGGGGGGCGGGCGGACATCTCTTGAGCCCCATGAGCCGATCCCCGCCCAGCATTGTTTTTCTTTGTCAAGGGCGGGTGAGAACGTCTGAGCTTATCAAGAAAAGAGGGAGGGGAGACCCCCTGTGTTTTATGTCAGGCCTGTCCCCCTACACAGGGGATTTTCGATGAAAAATGAAAAATACTCCCAAATGCTTAAACCATAATCTAAAGATAGTCCAGGGACTATGTTCTGAGTATTTGTGGAACTTCTGGGGGTATTTTGGGGATATTTTTTATGTGTCGTTCCTGTAGGGGGACACGCCCGACATAACCTTTGTCTCAAGAGCGGCTCGGAGGGTAGAGGGGGCGGCCGCGGGGCGCCAGACTTCTCGGCGTCGCTGCTGCCTGGGCGGGACGGGCGGGGGGCGCCGCGCATTCCGTGTGCCTGCGAGGGGGAAGTGCTGACGCGCGTGTGTTTCTGGCGTGCGCGGGGCCCCCCACCAGCTCGGAGGGCACGCCGCCACGTTTCCGTCCTAGCTGCGCGTGCCACTGTCTGCCCAGCTCGGACGGCGTCGTCCGCGCATCTGCCACATGTACATCATGGGATATAACTGAAGTCCTCGGTGCTCGAGCTCACCCTGATTGCGCTCCTTCTGCTTATGGTGTCAATCCTGCTTGTGTTTGTTCTGCTTGTTCTCCCCCGCCTTCCCACTCCATCCCTGTCCGCTCCTCCTCCTCCTCCTCCTCCTCCTCCTCCTCCTCCTGCTCATTCACCCTCCCCTCCCCGTGCTCTCTCCTGCCAGTTCCCAGGCCGACGATGACTCGACGTGTTCTAGTCGCTGGCCTCCGGCACTCTCGATCCCGTCCCCGGCGCCAGATTTTCAGCCCGAGTCGTTCATCTGACGCGTCCGGGGCGCGGGAACGGCGCACGGCAACCGAGCATGCAGAGACGCTTTTTGGGCGCGATGTCTCGAGCTCCTGGAGGTCTGTGCTCCCGTCCCCTCCCGCCGGGGGGCGGGAGGAGGGAGAAAGCAGGAGGGAGGAGGGAGGAGACCACGACGACGACGACGACGACGACGACGACGACGACGACGACGACGACGACGTTGACGACGACGACGACGACGACGACGACGACGACGACGACGACGACGACGACGTTGACGACGACGACGACGACGACGACGACGACGACGACCTCCCGCTGGGAGGCGGCGCTGGAGGAGGCACTGGACGGCGATGGCACCAGAGCGCCAGGCGTGCAGCTCAGACCAGCACCTGTGGGGGGGGGGTGGGGGCCTTCTCCACGAGGGTCGGTCGTCGCGACGAGGGGAGAGCGGGGAGGAGGCGGGGAGGAGGGGGCTCAGCGCGCATGCGTGCGCGCGGGGGCGTGTCCTCTTCATATCATGAATTCAACGAGAAACGAGAAACGAACAGAGGAGGAGGAGGAGGAGGAGGAGGAGGAGGAGGAGGAGGAGGAGGAGGACGAGGAGTTCGAGAAGGAGGAGGAGGAGGAGGAGTCAGGAGGAGGAGTCAGGAGGAGGAGGAGGAGGAGGATTTCGGAGGAGGAGGAGGAGTGATATTCTGGTTGTTGGACGCAGCCGAGAACTTGCATTTCGCGAGAGATCCATTGGCTGACTGGACTCGCCAGGAGCGTGATATTGCACTTTCACACGCGGAGGACGACATGTGGGTGGCAGTTTTTAGGCGGATGGGTAAGGATATGCGGATCTTTCATTGGGGTGGTGACACTCATGTGGCATGTGTTGGATAAGTAGGTGAGGTCGCTTGGAGTGTAAGTCGAGTTTGATGAGTAGATCGGCCCTGCCGAATCAATAGTAATTTGGTGTCCTGTGTATTGCGTCTCGTGTCCTGCGTGTTCCAGGGGCAGGGATATTATTGTGTCCTGATATGTCTACAGATGTCGGGGTTTGGTCGACGGCGGTCCGCCAGGAATCGCTGATCGGGGGCGCCCCCCGCGGCAGGGTACACTCCGCGTCCCGTTGCTGTCTAGATCCGTACGTCCGCCCGTTGTCAATTCGCAGCAGAGGTCGCGTGTCGCGGGGCATACGCCACTTGCGTTCATTGGTTGGGGCATCGTGCTGGAGGCCATCTTGAGCCTTCTTGGGCTATCCTCATGCCATTTTGGGCTCTGGGGTCATCTTGGAGCCACTTTGGGCGGCCCGAGTGCCCACGAAACCCTGGCCCCGACCCCACGGGGAGGGGGTAGGAGGGTGGAGCAGACCCCTCCCCGAGGGGGAAGAAGGAGGCTGGAAGAGGAAGCGCACTTGAGCCGCATCCGCGATGAGTTGTCTGTCTGCACGTGAACATGCCTTCCTGCCCTCCTCCCGTAGATGGACAAAACAGGTGGAACTCTTGACACCGCGCTCCCCCCACACTCCCCCCAATTTCAAAGTCGAAAGGTTGAGACTGTTTGCCCCTTTCAGGAGGGAAAGAAACACACAGACACAATCAATCGTCGATTCCCCGGAAAATATAGGAAAATATTGGAAGTGGGGGGGGAAGACAGAAGCCCAGAAAATACGGAAAAATATGGGGAATCAATTTACTTGCGTATTTATTTGTGTGTCTTTGGGCTCCTTCACCCTTCCCGTCCCTGGCCTCCCCTTCCCGCTGCCCGGTCCTCCAGGCACCCCCCCGCCTGCAAGGGGGCGCTAAAACACAGCTCGCGCGCCCTGCGCGCCGCGGCACTTGGCGGGACAGCTGCCCCCCTCTCGAGGGCGGCCTCGCGAGGCCGCCCTCGAGAGGGGGGCTTCTCCTCGAGAGAGAGAGAGAGAGAGTTTTTCCTCGGAGGAGATTTCGCGGTTTTTCCTCGGTTTGGGTTCTTCCTCGGTTTGGGTTTTTTCCTCGGTTTGGGTTTTTCCTCGGTTTGGGTTTTTTCCTCGGTTAGGGGGGGGTCTCCTCGCGAGGGCCGCGAAGGTGACCGCGCACCGCGGGGCACGCTGCGGCGAGGGTGGGCGACCCGGGTTCCAGTTTTCTGATCGGGCATGCCCCTCCACAGGAGGAGCCTTCAAGAACAGCAGAAGAGCAGTCTGGGACGATCTTCCGTGCTCTTCTGACGACCTCTGATTCATGTTGACCATGGTGTGTTCGTCTCCGGAAATCCGCCTGTAGGAGGACATGCCCGACCTGATTCCAGTTGTCCTCCTCTTCTGGTTGGCGTGTGCTGATGACGAGGACAGCACAGCCCACCCCCACAGCCAGCCAGGATCATGGTTCGACCTAAACGGTGCTTTGGCGATTTCGTGGAGCGTTTCCGTTCTGATTTTCTTTAACCGCAGAGGCGGGATGAATACGAAACGAGGGACAGCGAAAGCATAACGGAAACGGAACATACCGTTCAGGTCGAGCCCTGGCCAGGACCCCCTTTCCCGACCCCCAGGGATCCAGGGGGTCCTGGCTGGGGATGGGGGGGTGGGGGTGGGGGGGGGCTCTTGGGGGCCGGACAACACCACCCCCCACCCCCGGCCGGGACCCCCGGGGATCACCAGGTCGGGGGTGGGGCTCCTGGCTGGGAGTGGCAGTGGGCCGTGCTGTCCTCAGATTCGGCGGCGAGCGAGGGGAGGGAAGTGAGAAGGGGCGGGCCTTCACGGAAGGCTCGGAAGTCCCCCGGCTTTTGAGAAGTTTGACAAGCCTTGCCCGGAGACACAGAACACCTCTCCGCAGGCGCGAGAGCTTCTGAGAAGTCCCGGCCGCTTTCTGAGCAGGCCTTCCTCTTCTTTGGGGGCCCAAAAACATACACCTCCACCACCACCTCCATCACCCCCTCCCGCTCCCCAGGGAAGAGGAGAGGAAGAGGAGGGCAGAGGAGGGAGGAGGAATCGACGTGGTGGTGGTGTATAGTCTTGGGGCCCCCACTCTCATCTCCCTCCCTCGCTCGCCGCCAACAGACGAGCCTCGCGAAGACCAGACGCGCGCCAGAGCCGAGCCGAGCACGCGCAGGCGCGGGGGCGACCATCGCGGCCGTCGGCCCGGCGGCGTTCGCCCGGGCGTTCGCCGCCGCCGACGCTGGGCCGCTGGCGCTGGCACACCTGCAGGACCTCCTCTCGGCGGCCTGCCATCGGCGTCACCCCAGCATACTCATACCATACAGGCCTCGGAACAAGTTAGCGAACACTCATGCCAAATTCATCAGTCAACGCCTCCCCCCTCCCCCCACTGGCGGTGGGTCTGATGAGGTGCATTTCGACCGCAGCCCCCCCCCCGCGCGTGCCAACGTTGAGTTTGGGGGGAGGGGGAGTGTTCAGTAATTGTTTCCCTCTACCGTATGTGCGTCGCCCCCCCCCCCCAGGGCGACGCGCGCACCGAAACATCTCATAGTATATGCGCCGTGGCGGGCGCTTTCTGGCCACGCCGCTCGGGAAACGATACCTACTACAAGATACTACAAGAGGGGTATACTAGATGTTCGGGTCGGACACGCGCCTCCAAGGCGGACATTAAGTATTAATATGTCTCTGTGCGTCCCATGCCATTCGCCCGTGTCTTCGACAAGGCTGCTCGGCGAATGCGTGCAGTCTGGGTCACCCCCAGTGGCGCGAAGACTGTCGCGCTTCGCGCATCGCATCGCGGCTTGGGCTGGACAGGCGCCCTTCTCCAGGTCGGCGGCGCCAGGGCGCGAAGGTAACCGCGCACCGCGGGGCGCGACGCGCGGAGTTAGGTGGCCCAGGTGGTTAGTGCCCGCCCCTTGGCTGTCCGACCGCCTTTGCCTCCGCCGATCCTTCTCCCCGTGCTGCTTGTCCTGCTCCCCCCTGGGACAGTCGGGCAACTTGTTCTGCTGCTGCAGCTCGTGCCCCCCCCCCCCCCCACACACACCCACCTGGAGCCCTGGCTCGGAGAGGTGCGCTGCTCGACTCCACGGGGACGGCGCCTGGCGCGAGGGCGCGGCGAGCGCGAAGATGAGCCGCGCGTCGCGCCGAGGCGCGAAGGCGGAGCCGGAAGGTGCCAGCCCATGCGCCCACGCCGATCCTGACCAGACCAATCTTGGGCCGCGGATCGGCATGTTAGGCGCAGCCGACGGCGGAAAGACCTGATCCCGTGGCGCCCTGCGCGAACGCTGAGGTTGCCAGGCGCAAAGGGGGCAGGCCGCGCGCGAGGGGTGCACTGCTTCTCCGGGGTATTGTGGGTAACCCTCCTCCTCCTCCTCCTCCTCCTCCTCCTCCTCCTCCTCCTCCTCCTCCTCCTCCTCCTCCTCCTCCTCCTCCCTCCCCCGTGGCGTTCGCGTTCCCCCGCTCGTGCCCCGCGCGGGCGGAGCACGTCGGCGTGGGGAAGCGGGGGACGTCGGTGCCGGGCACGTCCCGACGGTGCCGGGCCACATCTTCGTGCCGAGCGGGGTGCTCCTGGAGGAGGGGAGTGGCACGAGGAGGGCAGGGCAGCATCGCACTGGGGAGACACCTGCTCTGTCCTGGGCGTGGGCGGGACAAGGACCAGGCCAGTGCGGTCTATATTGCCAGGAGGAAGGAGGGGGTAGGGAAAAACTCACATTCGTAATCGTGAAGATTCGCAAGCACATCACGAGCAGGCAGAGAGAGAGAGAGAAGCAGTAACAAACAAGGGAAGAGAGAGAGAGAGAGAGAGACAGAGAGAGAGAGGAGAGGAGAGGGATAGCGACAAGCGTAGGATCATGATGAGGATGAGGATGATAGGGATGATGATGAGAATGAGGATAATGGTGATGATGCTGCTGATGATGATGGCGATGATGATACTGCTGATGATGATGATGATGATGGTGATGATGCTGCTGATGATGATGATGATGTTGATGATGGCGATGATGATGATGTTGATGATGGCGATGATGATGATGATGATGATGATGATGATGATGATGATGATGATGATGATGATGATGATGATGATGATGATGATGATGATGATGATGATAATGAGGAGGATGATGCTGATGGTGATGCTGATGATTATGATAATGATGATGATGGTGATGATGATGGTGTTGGTGATGGTGATGGTGATGGTGATGGTGATGATGCTGATGCTGATGCTGCTGCTGCTGCTGATGATGATGATGATGATGATGATGATGATGATGATGATGATGATGATGATGGTGTTGGTGATGGTGATGGTGATGGTGATGGTGATGGTGGTGAGGAAGAGGCGGAGGAGGAGGAGGAGGAGGAGGAGGAGGAGGAGCTATCTTTCCACGCAGGGTCCTGCAGCTAGGCAGGCCGCTGTACAACAGATCCGCCAGGGT